TTACTCACCATCCTCAAGAGATGGCGTTACCTGCACTGCGATCAAAATAATATGGAAGCCTACATCGCGCAAATGAAATTCGGAAGCTAACTCTTCATATATACGATGCCCGACCAACATCAGTCGGGCCGCGGCCCCCGAGCTAATATCACTACAGCTCGGAGGAAGGACTTGCCCTTTGGACTTCCTACAATCTCAATAGCCTCGCGCATCATTCTAGGAACAAATCGCTGTTCAGCCGCAAGGGTCTGTGGTTTATCAAATGTAATGGTTTGGTGCCCCTAATGCATGTTCACACACTGCAGACCTCCAAACAACAAATAAAGTTCGTGCATTAACCCGTTAAAACTAGTTTTATTTAATGAGAGATGTGAAAACCTAAGAAACCAATTTGATATGGAGTTAGCTGACACCCTTGATTAACACATAGGCTACGTTTTACTGCGGGAAAATACCCCTAATAAACCGCGGGTAACACCGCGGGGCACAGCCAGTAGAGTATAAGTTGAATGGGTGTTTTCATCTCGGTATGGAGCTTGTAATGTAGACAGACCTCTCTTTCCCAGTGGGCACTTTGGGCAAGTGCCCAAGGTCCCGTGATCGATAAATAAATAAATATTTCCAACACTCACACCAATTAGCCTAGCCCCAAAGTAAGCACTGTAAGGCTTGTGTTATGGGATGCTAGGGTAACGGATATAATACATATACTTTACATATATAAGCATATTTATATAGAAATACATATTAAACATCCATGACTGGAGTACAAATGCTCGTATTCATCACACAAACATCTGCCCCCACCGGGATTCGAACCCGGGACCTCTCGAGTCGGCGACACCATGAAACCCGGTGTACAAACCACTCGGCCACGGAGGTCGTCGAATCGATAGGTGGGCACCTCAGATGACAAATACAAAGTCCCCAGTTCATGTTAGATCACCAAACGGGGGTCATAGGGGCCCCATTATTCTAATATGCCCAGGTCCTCCAATAGGTCTAAGACGGCACTGAATGTAGATATATACATATTTATTAAACACTTTTTAAAAGGGAATGACGCGCGATCTCTGTTCGTTGGAGTTTCGTTTGCTCCAACAGTGCTTTTTAAAAGGGATTTTTGATAAATTATCGAAGAGACTAAGCTCTGCAGCATATGCTATAATGAAAATACGTCAGTTAACGGATATAGAAACTGCCAGATTAGTCTATTTTAGTTATTTTCATAGTGTAATGTCTTACGGTATTTTACTGTGGGGAAATGCCGCCGACATTCAAACAATATTTGTGTTGCAGAAGCGGGCTATTCGATCAATTTATAATCTTAAAGTTAAGGACTCTTTAAGAAATAAGTTTAAAGAAATAGGCATAATGACGGTTGCATCACAATACATATATGAAAACTTAGTATATGTCAAAAAAAATATTAGTTTATTTACTAAAAATAGTGAAATACATACACTTAATACTAGAAGTAAAAATAAGTTAACTTTACCTGCTACTAGGCTCCACAAAATTAATAATTCGTTTAGAGGCCTCTGTATTCGCTTTTACAATAAAGTCCCAAGCAATATTCAAGAGTTGAGCCTGACTAAATTTAAATCGACTATTAAAAAAACTCTTATTAAGAATGCTTATTATAAAGTGTCTGATTATATTACAGACAAAAATGCTTGGGTTTGAACTGTTCCAACCATTCCAACGGGTATTTCTATATGATATATATTATGAATCACGTGTTGATGATACTTCTATTGAAAAGCTGTATTTAAAGCTGATTACGTAAGGAAGAATATCAGACTATTTAAGAAGATTTGAATGACAAAACGACGTGGTCATGATTTCTCCATTGTTTTTGCTTTGTAATTGTTTGCAGTGTCCTACAGATAAATGACTTTAAGTTTAAGTAAATATGTTGTGGTTGATATAGGTGGTTATGGGTAGTCATGCTCTCTTAAAAGTCTCTTCGGTGGTGTCGTGTGAGGCGGGTCGTTACGTTCCCTAAAATATGGTTGAGCGAAGCGATGGCTGGTTCATGCGTCATGCTCGTGAACGGGTGCTGCCAGCGGAGATGAGTCTGACCTAACTACTTTGATATTTAAGATGTAAATGTTTAATTACACCTATTATAAATAACTCTGTTTGTATTTATACTGTGTGACACAGCAATCAAAATGCAGGTGTACAATTAATGTATAATTTCACATTATGTAATTAAGGGTGACTTCATGAATCATCTCTGAAGTCATTTTTCAACCTGACGACTCTGTAAATGATAATACAGGGAGGAAAAAAACAGCCCTTGCTGAGTTTCTTGCCGGTTCTTCTCAGTACAAGGTCTCCCGCCGTAGATTTACGAACCGATGGCGTAGCTTCTAGACATTCATATGTGCTTGTAACAGCCTAAACTGAATAAATGATTTTGATTATTGATTGTTATTGATCGCGCTTAGGCATTAGCTTCTTGCAGTACCGCCGAAATTCGATTTCGATTCAATAAATCATAATCATCTTCATTTGCAGAAAATGGTAACAAATGGTGATACAGATATAAAGAGCAGTGATTTAACCTCGTTAAAAGAGTATGTTATTAAATGATTGAATGCATCATACATCATCATCATCAGCCTATTAATGCCCCCACTGCTGGGGCACAGACCTTCCCTATGGATGGAATAGGGAGATTGGGCCATGACCCACCACGCGGGCCCAGTGCGGATTGGCGGATGCTAACGACTGCAGATGCAGCCGCGACCAACGGCTTAACGTGCCTTCCGAAGCACGGAGGAACTCGAGATAGAAATTTTTGGCCACCCATCCAATGACCGACCACTGCGAAAGTTGCTTAAGTTCAACGATCGCAGCCAAACGCGCTAACCACTTGCGCCATCGAGCTCCTCAAAATTTCGCCTTTATAATATTAGTATGATCATCATCATCAATAAATCGGTATAGATATCCCCACTGCTGGGGCACAGGCTTTCCTTGAGGATGGAATAGGGAGATTGGGTTATGACACCCCACGCGGGACATGTGTGGATTGGTATGTATTCAATAAATCATAATCATCTTCATTTGCAGAAAATGGTAACAAATGGTGATACAGAGATAAAGAGCAATGATTTAACCTCGTTAAAAGAGTATGTTATTAAATGATTGAATCATCATCATCATCAACAGCCTATCTTAGTCCACTGCTGGACATAGGCCTCTCCTTTTACACGCCACTCAGATCGATCTTGGGCTACTCGCATCCAGCTCCTGCCAGCCACCTTGCGCAAATCGTCACTCCATCGCGCCAATGATTGAATAGTGGGTGAAAACTAAGTAAGTTTATGTGTAATTGTGTTACGTTATTATTCACAGTACAGTTAGGTAATTGGCGCATTTCCGGCGAATCGACCCGCGCCGATAACCGCACTGCTTATTATTGTACCAGCACGCTTTTAATGAATCTTATTATCTAACAACTCGCTGTCGAATATATTCATTGATAATCAAACAAAAGTGATATATGGTATCTTATGTTTGAAAATTAAAGTAAGGATGGGTGACCAAAACTTAGTTGTCTTGAGCTATGAAGAGAGAAGACGAAAGAACCCACGGTATGCCTTAGTATGCATTAGTATTTACCAATCCACACCTGTCCCTCGTGGGATGTCACAACCCAATATCCCTATTCCATCCTCAAGGAAAGCCTGTGCCCCAGCAGTGGGGATATCTATACCGATTTATTGATGATGATGATAATACTAATATTATAAAGCCGAAATTTTGTTAGTGTATCAGTGTGTATGTTTGTTACTTCTTCACGTTTAAACGGCTGGAGCGATTTTAATAAAATTTTATATAGAGTTAGCTGACACCCTGGATTAATACATAGGCTACGTTTTACTGAGGGAAAATATCCTTAATAAACCGCAGGTAACACCGCGGGGCACAGCTAGTTACGAATAAGAATTGTATCAAAAATACATTATCACTGTTTCCAAAGTAAAATGGGGGTGATGACGGGATGGAGTAAACGAAATTCTTTTAAGTCCGTCTTCAGTTAGTTTATCAAAAAGTAAATGACACAAAGTATTTTTTTCTTTTGTCGATCAGCCAAAACAATGCAAAGATAAAGCGCGTCAAAGATTGAGAATGGGGGCTCGTGACGTCACTATTAAGTAAAATTTTACTAAGACTTGGCGTCATGCGGCATTTCAAAACAATATATCTGTGTAATTTGTTTCTTAGGTTTTCACGCACATCACTCAACGCAGCCTTTTCAGGTTTCAGACCTGAAAAGGCCGCGAAGCGTCAATAAATAAATAAAGTTCGTGCATTAACCCGTTGAAACTAGTTTTATTTATCTCTGTAATGTTTTGAATATGTGAAAAAAGAGAAAAATGTGTGTGCAATACTTTTTTGTAATCTACCTGATAGACTTTGAAAAAAAAAAAGTGTTTGCGTCTCGGAACGCACGACAGAAGTGACAGCTTAAACTAATATAAGCGGCGCTGCGGGTCACAGTGAGAGAGGAGGAGTCTGCCTACCGCTGCCATATGCGTGAGTAGGGTTGCCAGGCCATAAAATGCAAAGGCCGGACTGCGCACTATATAAGGCCTGACATTTTGCCCTAAAAGCCGGACATATTTTTTTTATTGCCACACAATGTTTTTACAGCGAGGCTGTTGAAAAAAGTATTTATACGTGATGTAAAGTGAGAATGAGATCGAAGATTGAAGCGCTAACAGTTTGTTCTCTTGTCCGTTCGGACGTTCGTCCGCCCATTGTCGTACGAATCTCCACTCTGATAAAAAGCCTGACAAAAGCCGGACAGACCAAACACGTACATATTTGGCCGGACACCTGGCAAGCCTATGCGTAAGAGGAAGGGAAGGCAGACTAGCGCCGTAACGCGTTACGTAACGAAGCGGTTTACCCTCCCATAAGAAGTATTTTTTTTGCCATTACCTTACGATACACGGAAGTGGTATTAGTTGGTACGTTACCTCAACACCCAGCGCCTTGAGTAACGCGAGGCAGCGCCACGCCACGCCCCCCAGCAGGTACTTCCGCAAGATCTCGCTGGAAGTCTGGCTGTTGTTGCGCGTGAACAGGCTCGTCGGCACCGCCCGGGACTCGTCCGGCTTCGACTCCGATTCTAACATATAAATCACTTCTTGAGACCGATTTATAATAATAATAATATAATAATAATAATAATAATAATATATATATAATAATATATATGGCGTCAACAAAAAGTTTACGTGGTCCCTATAGTCCTCTGCACAACAGGCGTCATTCCAAATCACCTTCTCCATAGCCTTAAATTAATAAATCTAAAAGAAACCCTCTATATCACCCTCCAAAAAGCTGCAATTTTAAATACATGTAGCATTGTCAGAAAGTTCTTGCAAATAGATGAAAACGAAATTGGTTCTCATCACAATAGTACAACATAACCTAACACAACACATGCTGCACTTACTTGGTTTCGGCCCGCAATTGTAGTAAAAACCAGCCAAAGAGCTGAGAAGAAAAACACTCAACAAATAATAATATTCCCAACACTCACACCAATTAGCCTAGCCTCAAAGTAAGCTCTATAAGGCTTGTGTTATGGGATGCTAGGGTAACGGATAGAATACATATATTGTACATACAATAAGTATATTTATATAAATACATATTAAACATCCATGACTGGAGTACAAATGCTCGTATTCATTACACAAACATCTGCCCCCACCGGGATTCGAACCCGAGACCTCTCGAGTCGGCGACAGCCATGATACCCGGCGTACAAACCACTCGGCCGCGGAGGCCATTTATTTTCTCCTCACAAAAGGTGTAGCAGTACAATAGGTAACTAGCTTAATCAATACAAATACATAAACCTATTATGTGGGAGACTGGTGCCCGTAAAAGGCAACTACGAATAGCTACCTGCACTAACAGGTCACCAGGCCCAGACTATCATACATAAACCATACGTGTATTGCATATCTTAATGGAAAATTAAATACCTACTCCAAATTTTAAAAATACATTGTCAGAGAGAATAAAATGACAAGTAATCTAAGAAGTGCTTTAATTACACTGCAGACTGCATTGACAAAATTATTATTAAGGTGCAATAATATCTCTTATCTATTAGACAAGTCCGTCTGTCTGTGGTGCTGTTTCAGCGGCCAAACCGTAAGAGATAGATAAAGAGAATATTTAAGTTATAAGTTAAGAATAGTCTGATAAGACTACAAACCGGATTTGAGTAACGTAGCACTTCCGGTTTTCGAGAAATCAGGTTTTGGTGAACATTTGGTTCGCTGGTTTGCTAGTATTAAACGTAATACACAAAAATATTTCCTATACCTTTGAGAAACCAAACAAAGAATCCCAAGTCCAGAAGGCAGCGGGGGATACCAGAACCCAGCCATCACCATAACCGACCATAAAATTAAAATAGCAGTTTGTGAGTTAGGAAAAGACTGTATAAAAATATAAAAAATCAATCATGTTTTTTATCAACACTCATGTCGAAATATTCGCATTACGAAATTGAAGATGTTTCTATAAAGACATACTCTATAAACGCACAAACATAAAATTAAAAATAAAACTCATTACAGTACTGCTAGATGTATCGTAATAGTTATTTATGATACAAGTGCGGTAAGTTAGTTATATGTCATACAACGTTTATTAACACATTTGCGAGAAAATATTATACATAACTTAAGTACTTGTCTTAATAGGCTCGAAAATATTCGCATGCAAAGTTCACACATCTTTCAAAGTACACTAAATGGCAAAAAAATGTTAATGATTTGATTCCACTTGCGAATATTCATTGCTATGCAGACGATAGCACAGTGCATGCGAGATACTTTGGACACGCGGCGGCTGGACGGGTAGAAACCATGGAGAAACGGGAGAATCTTGTCGTTCAGCTCAATCGGGCTTTAGACCACATTTCCGAATGGGGTACTAGGAACTTGGTTGAGTTCAATGCCAAGAAAACTCAGGCTTGCGCTTTCACGGCAAAAACATCGCCATTCCTTCCCCTTCCCTCTCTTCAGGGCACAACACTGGCGCTACAGAGCAATATTACCATGCTCGGTATGGAAGTTCGCTCAGACCTGAATCCAAAGGACTACATCGAAACGTTGATCAAAACAGCTTCACGCAAACTCGGAGTCCTGAACAAGGTGCGGCGTTTTTTCACGCCCGATCAACTGTGCTTGTTGTACAAAACACAAGTGCGGTCCTGCGTGGAATATTGCTCTCACCTCTGGGATGGCTCCGCAAAGTACTTACTCGATGCCTTGGATAGGTTGCAGCGGCGCGCTGCCCGCATCATTGGCGATGAAGAGGCAACTAAGAAACTCGAGTCTCTACAATTACGCCGTGATGTGGCATCATTAAGCGCATTCTACCGAATATACCACGGCGAGTGTTCTGAGGAGCTATTCTTGCTTATCCTTCCATCACCTTTTCTTCAGAGGACCACGCGCGCTGGCCTACGTTGCCATCGACTTATTGTGGCCACTATTCCTACACGAACAAAGAAATTTGGCGACTCATTTCTTTGTCGTACTATTCGTAAGTGGAATTCTTTACCCGCGCACGTGTTCCCTCCTTCCTATAATCTGGGGTCCTTTAAGAGAGGCGTGAAGAAGCATTTTTGCGGGCCGGCAAGGTGAGGATGGTTGGTGTAGCAGTTAATAACTGCTGTACCAGCTATCTTCGCGTTTGGACTTTATCACCACTTAACATCAGGTGGGGTAGAGTCATTTGCCTACCTAGTAATATAAAAAAAAAAAAAAAAATCAAAAAAAAACTATCGCGGGCGCATCGAGTGGCGGCATCATCATCGCCAGCGGCAGCGGCGACGCCAGCTGGCTGACGGACGAAGTGACGCGGTGCAACCCGCACACATCTCGCAGCCTGCCAGCCACATACCTGCCGAGTCAGCGAGCGGGGCGTCCACTACCGCGGGCGCGTCGAGTGGCGGCATCATCATCGCCAGGGGCAGCGGCGACGCCAGCTGGCTGACGGACGAAGTGACGCGGTGCAACCCGCACACATCTCGCAGCCTGCCAGCCACATACCTGCCGAGTCAGCGAGCGGGGGGTCCACTATCGCGGGCGCGTCGAGTGGCGGCATCATCATCGCCAGGGGCAGCGGCGACGCCAGCTGGCTGACGGACGAAGTGACGCGGTGCAACCCGCACACATCTCGCAGCCTGCCAGCCACATACCTGCCGAGTCAGCGAGCGGGGGGTCCACTATCGCGGGCGCGTCGAGTGGCGGCATCATCATCGCCAGGGGCAGCGGCGACGCCAGCTGGCTGACGGACGAAGTGACGCGGTGCAACCCGCACACATCTCGCAGCCTGCCAGCCACATACCTGCCGAGTCAGCGAGCGGGGCGTCCACTACCGCGGGCGCGTCGAGTGGCGGCATCATCATCGCCAGGGGCAGCGGCGACGCCAGCTGGCTGACGGACGAAGTGACGCGGTGCAACCCGCACACATCTCGCAGCCTGCCAGCCACATACCTGCCGAGTCAGCGAGCGGGGGGTCCACTATCGCGGGCGCGTCGAGTGGCGGCATCATCATCGCCAGGGGCAGCGGCGACGCCAGCTGGCTGACGGACGAAGTGACGCGGTGCAACCCGCACACATCTCGCAGCCTGCCAGCCACATACCTGCCGAGTCAGCGAGCGGGGGGTCCACTATCGCGGGCGCGTCGAGTGGCGGCATCATCATCGCCAGGGGCAGCGGCGACGCCAGCTGGCTGACGGACGAAGTGACGCGGTGCAACCCGCACACATCTCGCAGCCTGCCAGCCACATACCTGCCGAGTCAGCGAGCGGGGCGTCCACTACCGCGGGCGCGTCGAGTGGCGGCATCATCATCGCCAGGGGCAGCGGCGACGCCAGCTGGCTGACGGACGAAGTGACGCGGTGCAACCCGCACACATCTCGCAGCCTGCCAGCCACATACCTGCCGAGTCAGCGAGCGGGGGGTCCACTATCGCGGGCGCGTCGAGTGGCGGCATCATCATCGCCAGGGGCAGCGGCGACGCCAGCTGGCTGACGGACGAAGTGACGCGGTGCAACCCGCACACATCTCGCAGCCTGCCAGCCACATACCTGCCGAGTCAGCGAGCGGGGGGTCCACTATCGCGGGCGCGTCGAGTGGCGGCATCATCATCGCCAGGGGCAGCGGCGACGCCAGCTGGCTGACGGACGAAGTGACGCGGTGCAGTCCACACAGCAGCTCACAGCCCACTAGTGTCACCACGCCGCTCACCGGGCTGTTATAGAGATGTTGCTTAGTCCATACAAAATACATCAAATGTAACTAGCTCCTGGTCACGACTTTATATTAGTAGAACAAACTAGTTTCACATACATGATTTTCATTTCCTACTTGTATGTTCAAAGTAGAATCTTTACTTATACCAAAATAAAGCATAATTGGTTTACAGGTTAAGTCTTTAAAGCGTTACAGGCACAGATAATAAAAAGCACGTACGATATAATTCTACTGGAACGAGTCTATGGCACTGTAAGTATGTATGTAAATTAATGAAAATAATTAAAGAAGAATAATTAAATGATTTAATAAAGATTACTTAAACAAACACAAAAATAAAAAGGTCAATGATAGTTTTACCAGAATTTGATCAACTCCTTCGGATCAGCTCCGTCGTTGACTCGGATGAGGAACTCCGCCAGGAACAAGTCGAGCCATGTCGACTTCTATAAACAATACATATTACAATCTACAAGTCATATTTTATAGTTTGGGTTTGGACTAACTACCCAAGCAGCAAAGTTATCCTATGGTGCAGGTGTTATAAAAATAATAAGTTTCTCAAAAACCAATCAGAGCTTGAACTATGTAAACTAAACAACGTATATCATATTTCATCATCTTCATTTTCATCATCAGCCTCTTAATGTCCCCACTGCTGGGGCACAGGCCTTCCCTATGGATGGAATAGGGAGTCGGGCCATGACCCACCACGCGGGCCCAGTGCAGATTGGCGGGTGCTAACGACTGCAGATGCAACCGGGACCAACGGCTTAACGTGCCTTCCGAAGCACGGAGGAACTCGAGATAGAAATTTTTGGTCACCCATCCAATGACCGACATGCGAAAGTTGCTTAACTACAACGATCGCAGCCGAACGCGCTAACCACCTGCGCCATCGAGCTCCTCATATTTACTTCTTCTTAAGTCATGCACGCATTCTAATCGTTAAATAAAAGCACTTTTAACGTGAACCTTAATTACAGGTCCCGCTTTCATGTGTGAAGAATACAAAACGTCAATATTAAAGGCGCTATATAAACTGGTTAAAAGTGGTTTTATTACACGTTTTTGTACGATAAGAAATATGCGACAATTTAATTAATATGTACTTATGTATCACACAAATAAAAGGTCCGAGCGAGATCCGAATCCAGAAGTCTTCGTAACAGAAGATATTGGGTTCATAGAGACAAATTAATTGAATGATGACATCCGTTGCACCAAGTCGAACGGCTTCATTTTAATGGGAATCAATTTAAAAAACATCATACGGTAACGTTTGTTGCTTTTATATCTTATCTGCTTAGTTTATAGTTTTCATTAACTTTCAAATGCTGAACAATCCATAATGATAATTATGAATTATGATATTATAATTATGAATAATTCACTTCCATAATGGCAGCAGCTCTTAAAGTTTGGACGTACAGCGGTGCACACCCCCACGCCTTCAAGTAGGTTTGTTTCCTGTTTGAGGTCGAGTTTTGCAGCATACGCGGACTCCACTCTAACCTCAACGCTATCCACCAACGTCTTGAGACAGCACGGCCAGCATTGTTGTTCCTGACGGAGACACAAATACTTCCGCCTGCTGACACAGGCTACCTCAACTATCCCGGCTACGTGCTTGAAGAGTCCTTTAAAGCGAAAGCCGGTGTATGCCTATATATTCGAGCGGATATTTGCTGTCACCGTCTCCGCTGCTTGGGAGATCACGGTACACGTCGACTCTGATCCCCTGGTCAGAGTCTACGTGTGCCTCTACAGATCCCACGCCGGCGATGTTGAGACAACTCGACTTTTAAGCACCTTAGTCGGGCAGCAGATGACGCACAGGAACAATTTCCCAATGCAGAATTGGTGTTTTTAGGGGACTTTAATGCTCACCACAGTGACGGACCAGTTGCACACATTCGCTCTCACGCATGACTTAAGGCAACTGGTTGATCAACATCAACACCAGGATCCCAGATATTCCAAGTCAAGCGCCTTCTTTACTGAACCTTCTGCTCACGACCCATCCACTGGGCTATCAGGTTGTGGTAAGCACCACAGACAAAGTCCCCGCGTCCAGCAGTAGTCAAGCGCCGATCTGGCACTATGGGTCGGCAGATTGGGACGGTGTACGTGACTACTTTGCGTCCGTCCCTTGAAGGCAGCGCTGCTTCAGTGACAGGTGCCAGTGCCGTTGCCATTACTGAGATTATAATAGGTATGGAATACTATATTCCTCATTCTCATCTCATCAGTAAGGGCATCCGAAACCTCTAGTTCAATCAAGATTGTGCTGAAGCTGCTTCGCGTAAGCAAGCGGCATATCGTGCTTGGATCAGAGGCCGCGCTCTTAAGGATCCCGAAGTCGATTCACTCAAAGCAGCCTACAATTTGCTTCCAAGGCCTGTAAGAAGGCTTACATCAGAGCGGATACCCAGCGCGTTGCACGTGTTGGCCAGGAACTTATAACGCATCCTACGGGCTCCCGTAGCTCCTGGCGTTTTCGTGCAAAAGAACTTCTGCCAGCCCTCGCTGCCACCTTTGAAATGCCCAGACGGAACACTAGCTCATAAGCCGCAAGACAAAGCCAATTTACTGGCAAAACTCTTTGCGGCTAACTCACGAATCGATGATTGCAATGCACTGTCACCATTATTACCTCATTGTGGCACAATGATGCCTGATATTAAAATCAGGCAGCGTGAGGTTCGTGCCGAATTGCAATCACTCGACATCCGGAAAGCTAGTGGACCTGATGGCATCCCAGCAGTAGTACTGAAAAAATGTGCGGCGGAGTTGTCCCCCGTGCTCACGCGCTTGTACCAATGCTCGTATTTTTTGGGGCGTGTGCCGGCCGTTCTACCGGCAGATAACAGTCACCTCAGTATTATTTAAAGTTCTAGAAAAGGTCCTTAACAACCATCTGACCCGCTACCTAGAGGATCACTCCCTGATTAATGATCGTCAATATGGTTTTAGACCGAAACGATCGACGGGTGATCTTCTAGCGTACTTGACTCATAACCGGGGTGAGGCTATCGACAAGCGTGGCGAGTCGTTGGCTATCAGCCTTGACATTGCCAAGGCGTTCGACAGGGTCTGGCACAAAAGCCTTCTCTCTAAGCTTCCGGCATACGGTCTGCCGGCCCAGTTCTGTTCTTGGGTAGCTGACTTCCTGCATGAGCGTAGAATTCGTGTCTTTACGGATGGTAGCAGTTCGCGGTTCATGTCAGTGAATGCCGGCGTTCCGTCCTATCCCCCACTCTCTTTCTGCTGCATATCAATGACTTAATTCCTCTTGGGAATATTCATTGCTATGCAGACGATTCCCCTTTCCTTCAGAGGACCACGCGCGCTAGCCTACGTTGTCACCGTCTAACTGTGGCCACAATTCCAACGCGTACAAAGAAATTTGGTGACTCATTTCTTTGTCGTACTATCCGTAGAGGCGAGAAGAAGCAACATGCAGGCTGGCAGGATGAGGATGGCTGGTGTGGCAGGTAGAACTGCTGTATCAGCTATCTTCGCGTCTGGACTTCACCTTCACTTAACATCAGGTGGGGTGGAGTCATGGATCAAAGAGAATGTACAAGCTGCTGGCTCTCCTGCGGGCTTTAAACTGACTGCTTGTCTCTCTCTGTTCAGCCTCAATTTAGTCCAGACAATTTTATAGGCCCAAACTATGTCAACACCGATATCCTCGTTGTTCGTAACTATGGGAGTAATGTTTCCATTATAAAATGTAAAGTATTTGT